TTTGTTTGTGTTGATGGTGAGCCCGAATTTGGCCGCTGTCGAAGCCAGAGCATTAGTCATGTGCTGCAAATCATCCACTCTGTGTGCGAAGAACGCACAGTCGTCAGCAAGCAGCAAAACACGGAGAGTTGTCTCACAGACTAGGGTTCTCGCACCGAAACGACGGATGTTCAGCAAACCACCACCAGCATGGTGCTCCACACGAACAGCGTAAGCGCAGGCTGCTTCAAAAGTACAAGACAACCTTGCATAAATATATGTATTAAACCGGGCAGGAGCTGAGACAGCCTTGATTCACACCAGAAAAAACTGAAAAGTTATCAGAAGTCTCTTCACTCAGCTGCACCTTCGCTCGCATACCAATGTGCATACATTCAAGTAAAGGTACAAACTTACACGCACAACCAAACGGTTTATCGTGCTAAATGCCGTGATGCAATCAATGAAAAGCGAATATATATATATGTATATATATATATATATATATATATATATATATATATACATATATATGCATCCTACCTTGCTCAACGAGTTGAGTCTCACTGAGCGCTGCAATATCGATGTTGTAGCGAGCCGGTTCCATCGCGAACAGTGCAGTGCGTCCTTTGGGGCGCTCACTGGAGTTCTGATCCAGTGATGTGCGCACGTTTCAGCACCCGATGTTGATTGCTTTGCGCGCTGGCATATGATTGCATTGGTGGGCAATCGCACTCGCGGTGGCGAATGTGCTTCGGTGGTTTGCTTGAGGGACTCTGCCCGGAGCCTTTGGCTCAATAGTCTGCCCCACAAGGCAGTGGGGAGCGGATCCAGCTCGAGAATGTGATTGCAAAGACAGGTTGGGATCTGCTTTACGGCCGTCACACGCAGCCTTTGAGGTACTAGAACGATTCATATATGTTTTGCGACCGTAGTAGGATACACGTGCGACCAGACGCAGCTGGCTCTGGCGGGTTTGCACCAATTTGACCAGGGGCTGCCTGGCTTGAGGCGGGCAGTAGCAAACGATTGAACACCCGGATGCGCCCTCCCACCATCAGAAACAATGCGTGGCGCTCGTGCTCTACTCCAATCGAGCTGCGAGCTTATAATTCGTAGACCTGTTGTATCCCATGGCTAGGTTTTAGGGAAGGGACAACAACAACAACAACAACAACAACAACAACAACAACAAAAGCAACAACAACAACAGTACGTCAGCCGTTTGAACTGATGCTTCGCTGCCATACAACCATGATGACCTATGAAATAAAGAATAATAGGATGGAGAGGAAGGGCACATACCCGGAAACCTTGATGCCCGAAGCAAACATTCAGAGTCAAGGCGTTGACGGGAAGAGGGCCATCGACCACTTCCTAACCTCTGAAGAAGATGGACTAGGATACTGGCAGGTCGCCCACGCCTGACAGGAGAACGACTCGGGTCTTCAGCCAAAGCCTTCGATTAAATGTACACCCGAAAGCACCGGGTCTAGCACATGGTCAGTTCACTGACTCATGTGGATTGGTGTCCTGGATCATTGCATGGAGAAGGGCGTCCTCCAATTCTCACCCAGCGGTCACCACGAGGAGGCGTCCAGGGCATGAGCCCATGGCACAACAGCAGCAGCGGTGGGTAGACCATCCGTCAGGATTTAGCCATCACCAGCCTCAGCGCACCATAGGATCTTCCGCGATATATATATATACATATATATATATATATATATATCTTTTCGGGCGGTTCCATCAGCAGTGTTTGCAACGAAATTTGCGCATCACTTGTGGAGACAGAGTTGCTGACACGGAAGTGTTGCGTCAAAGTGGAATGTATGCAGTGGACTGCATACTTCTGCTGAGACACCTAAGGTGGCTCGGTCATGTGTGGCGTAAAGATTCAAAACGGATACCGAAACAACTCTTATACGGTAAGCTGTACATTGGGAAGCGGCATGTGGGGAAACCAAAGTTACGTTACCAGGACATAATCAAATTGAGCCTCTCACGTTCTAATCTTGATTGCAGGTCATGGGAATCGAAGGCGGTTGATCGGCATGCATGGCGCGATCTAACCACGAAGGCAGTTGCCGAGGTGCAGGAGAAAGCCCTCGTACATGAAGAGAAGAAGCGGCAAGTGCGGAAACGGCAAGCAACGATGAGTTGTGGTCCATCGAAATCATCACATGGTGTTGTAGCACATGCGGTCGCGAATGCCTGAGTCAGGCAGGCCCAGTAAGCCATGAGTGAGACCACTCGGGACCACTACCGAAGCGACGACGGGTTCTGCGGAGAACGTAGGCAGAACCAGCGCGGCGTTTGTAGATACGCTGCATTCGATTTACTAACCGCGTGCTTGCATGCTAAGCATCTTTATTTCAGGTGGCGGGTTCGCAATTATGTCCTAATGCTTTTCTTTCTCATATAAATGTCTACCTGTACGCTCTTCTATAAACTTGCACACGTCGCTTAAGCCAATTGTAGTTAATTTCGATAACATTTTCGTGTTTGTATCATTTCCGTAAAACATATTTTCTGATCTCGTGAACTTATCTCGGATCCTTTGTAAACAACTTACCTCATATGCTCATTAATTTAAAATTTTTGTCACGTTTCCTTATGCATTACTCGATTTATTATTTTGTTAGCCTTCTCTCAAGTGATTGGCTGTTGCTTGATATCCCCTGTGTGGCTGCGCTTGATGTGCATGTTGAGAAGGTGCCCACTTGTCTATTACCCACTACCCCATTCATACTGGCTCTAGGAGACAGATGGTCGTTTCTGGAGAGGACGGGGTGCACGGTACTTGTGGCCGTTTTAGGATCAAAGAGTGGTTCCATGCACTTAGTGTAAAGCGGACTACGGTCCAGCCACCGCCTTGTGTGTGCGCTTGATTCACCAAATACAGCGTGCTTTTGTTTGCCTGTGAAGGAGTGTGGGCCGGCTCCGTTTAGGAAACGTGGCTCCCATCCACCTGCCTCCCGGTCTTATTCCTTCGGGTTTACACTAGACATTGGGTGTGTGGATGGAGCTCTGGGTGGTGCAGCGCGAGCCACCCATGGTCCTTTTGTAAGCGCAGGCGTCCTGTGGCTGACCATTGTGACAGGCAAATCCGAAACCGGATGCCGCCAACCATATATATATATATTCGCTTTTTGTTGATCGCATCAAGGCATTTAGCACGATAAACCGTTTGGTTGTGCGTGTAAGTTTGTACGTTTACTTGAATGTATGCACATTGGTATGCGAGCGAGGGTGCAGCTGAGTGAAGAGACTTCGGATGACTTTTCAGTTTTTTCTGGTGTGAATCAAGGCTGTCTCAGCTCCTGCCCGGTTTAATACATATATTTATGCAATGTTGTCTTGTACTTTTGAAGCAGCCTGCGCTTACGCTGTTCGTGTGGAGCACCATGCTAGTGGTGGTTTGCTGAACATCCGTCGTTTCGGTGCGAGAACCCTAGTCTGTGAGACAACTCTCGGTGTTTCCAGTTGGTGCGTCTGACCCAGTTGGAATATACTATATTGGTGGTTCCTTTCTCAGAAATGCCACTCAGCAGACAGATTTAGGAGCAATGCTTTCGTCTAACCTCAAGTCTAATGATGATACCAAGAAAAAGGTCGCTGCAGCCTACAGGATGTTTCACTCTATACGTAGCTCGCTCTCCCGCCTGACTCCGGGGCTCTTCCGACTCCTGTTTACTTCACATGCACGCCCGCTTCTAGAATACGGGATACCAGCCCTCTACCCACTTACGAAATTTGAATGTGTTATGATTGAGAAGGTTCAACCGCCTGGATCCAAATCTGTTCCTGAGCTGCGGGACCTGTCCTATTCTCTCCAACTCAAACAACTTAACCTCTTTTCCCTGGAGTACCGTCGTCATCGCAGAGACTTGATCTTCACCCGATGTATTCTTAAAGGAGGGTTGGCGAGGGAATTGCAGGAATTCCTTCATCTCAAAACAGAGAGTTCGGCAAGAGGCCAGGGTTTGAAGCGTTTCGAAACGAGGAGTCATTGATTGCGATCCAGCCTGGCTTTATCCACTCGCATTGTGAATGACTGGAACCGCCTTTCGGAGTCCATCGTCGATGCCGAGACCGAGGAAGGTTTCGAGCATTTATTGGATTCCCATTTTACTTTACGGGGATCCAGCTGTTTCCAATGCAGCTACAGTGGTTATCTGTGGGACAGTGTTCCGCAATGACCCAGGCTATCTCCGCAACGATCGGAAAGTGACGGAGCTGACAAAGGAACTTCCTTCTACTCATTATCATCCAATGATCCAATGTACGCCGTAACGGCGCATCGCTGCCGCGCGACCACCTTGGTGGTGCACCGGTCGCGGGTGGACTGAGTATACTACGAGGACGTGCGCTACAACGTGGGTTCAAACCAGTGACTTTATGATTGCAATCCAGGCGTACAGACCTCTCGGCTAACGGCCAACTCGGTGCAACACTACGACTTCAGTACTGCATGATTAGAAATTCGAAATGGACTCCCGGTTAGTGTAGACAATGCTTGCATCATATAATTTGCATTCACAGTATATAGGTAGGAATACTCCTAAAGGTGTCGCATTTGGATGACCATAGGCAAAAAGCACGGTCACTTGGAGCGTATTAGCGGATACTTTCGGTCACTCGTGCTGTGCTGTTATGTAGCTAAGCATGCAAATGCGGGTGCAATAAAGCCCATAAAAAACCAATTACGCAATATAAGTGCAAACGCCAGAAATAGTATTTTGTAAAAGTATACGTACATCGAACCTTAATATTACTTCCAAGCAGCTATCAAAGCTTGGTGCGTTAATTACGCCCAGAAGTAGAGAAGTTACATGATTCAAGAAAAATGGTGAGTAAAACAAGCAATTCTTGTTAGTATTTAAATTGTGATCTTAGGTGACCAGTAACTTATTCATAAATAGTCAAATACTTGTATGATTGCACCTTTCAATGTGAGTATGTTTAAGGAAGTGCGGTTGTCCATCCAATAGTAATGTTACAATAAATATATGACTTACAATTCATGTGAAACCAGATAGAAAAGCCGTATACAAAAATGTATGAAGAAGAGACCGAAGTAATTACATAGCGCTGATGTCCAAAACTTGGCTGGCGTTACTGGGGTACGGCACTCTTAATTGGCGCGACTCACAATGAAGAAATGACTATGGTTTTCGCCTCTCTGTTGAGCGTATGTTACTGCTTTACAAGATAAGCACTGTCTTTTTAGTTATTGATTTTATTTACTTATTATGTACACCAGTTTCAACCATGGGTTTCACACTTATTGTTCATATACGCAACGCATACCGCCGGTGCTCGTGATGACAATCCTAAATTTCATTAGAAAGTCAGCTGATGTTTTGTTCTCTTACGTTTAATCTGCTTTGTCGTTTTAAATGTGCTTGGTTGTATCACTGAGCAATATTGATTTTTCCACCTATGTAACGCACACCCCCGCAAGAAAACAGGAAGCAACTAGTAAACAAAGTCAAATGTGCAACGTCCGCTCTGATTTAGAATGGCAAACTAAAAACTATTAGTGCGCAACTTGTAAAACGAAACAAGTCGTCTATTTAGTGCGCTGTACTATTCCTATCTACGCTTATTTTAAGTCGTTTGTTTATGCGATGTCTGGTTGGATTCCAAACACGAAATAGGCTCCAGTTTGGTGTATGTCCTGTTTCCTGCAGTAGTGGAGAATTAGTCTATCTCTTAAATGTTGGAATGCGTGCGGTACATCAGCAGACCGCGAGCATTGAACTTAAACTTGTTCTGCTGCAGTTTTGCGCTTAACAGCAAATGATATGATCACTTTTGGTCCTTCAGTGTCAACTATAGTTCCTATGAAATTATAGAAACCGGAAGTTGCGAGTCATTATATAAACGTTCCGCGCAATCCTTTATAGTTAATACAGGTAACGTAATATCTGTGTTAGCTTGGTGTTGCCTCGCTGACACGTATGGACGGAAAACTGCCTCTCAAATAAACCTGGTAAGCAATATTGCGCCAACGTGCCTTGGTACTCCATCCTAATCTCGGATAATGAACAATAATGACGTTCGATTACGGACAAGCCCTCTTTTAGAGATTCCATCCTATAATATTTCTGTTTTAACGTTTTGTACATCATCCATTCGCACTGGCCATGGCAATCTTTGTTGCACAGGTTATCGGATGCGCCACTACACACCAATGGGATTTTTTCCGCGTTGCTTTTATACAAAAGCTCTTCCGTATTGGTCGAGGACATAGCAGACGTACGGTCAGTACTTAGTTACTTTATTACGGCCGTAGTAACGAGTAGCATAGCGCAGTGGTAGCGTTCCCGCTTGTCATCCAGGAGACTTGGGTTCGCCTGCTGGGGGCAACGCTTTTTTCTTACCCACTCCAGAAGTACCTAAACTAGGCTTGGTAAGATACGGCAAAGGATGCAGTGGTTTTTGCGCAAGCATTTAAAAGGGTTTTACGCTTGAATCTTTACACGAATTCAACGCATCCAAAAAGCGTTCTTGCAACTTGATCTAGGTTAGTATGGAAACCAAGGTTACGTATCTCACGACTTATATCGATGTGTTTTCTATTTATCACTGCAAAATCCGTTCCGGTTGCACTTGTGCCACTGCTTAAATCACCAATTAACCCTGCTTTCTAGACAGTTATTTCATATAAGGCACATGGACTGCGCCCACACACATACATTTGGCACCATTATATTTGTCCTCACCTGTTACATTATACGGACATCTAGGTCTTGGCTTCCAATAAATAAGTACGCATTCCGTTTCATATTTTACCGCTCGCTAACAGCTTGTGTTTAAAATACCGCCGGCTGCGTACAAAGCAGTTCTTCTGCTGTAGCGACCCAGGTTTATTAATGTGACGCAGGATCGGCTGCAAAACATGGTGCATCAAGGAATCGAAATCTGGCCTCATGACCAACAGTCCAGCGTGCATACCACTAAGATTTATTCAGGATAGACCACTCTCTGGTAAATTAGCTAAAAAGCATCTGTCAAGACGAGGCTGCAGCAACGATAACAAAAATGAATGATTTTCTCCTAAGTTTTCAAGTTGTTATAGGCTACCCAAGCTGCTTAACACGACTTAAGCGGTTCTTTCCTTAAGTTTCTCCTTAGTTTGGCCACTACCAGCGATGGAAGAATTTTCCGCTACCTTTTTTTGAGCCGGCAAGCGCAACAGGGCGCCGATAATTCGACACTTGTGTTTCTACCTTTGGTTATGTAAACGAAGTGAAGCAACAACAATTGCGAGAGCAGCCTTCGTAATTTCCTGTGTCTATTACTAAGCGGCCGGTATCATTTGTCATTAAACAAATCCAAGCATATTAATGGCTTAAAGAATGGTACCTCCCAATAGTGCAGCAGGAAGCATATTCCAGTTATTAACTACACGATTTGTAAATGTCTGCCCTACATGATAGCTTGTAGCTCATGCGTTATTTCTTGTCTATGTAGGCAGCTCAAGTGCACGTGGGACTGAAACATTCATACTATTTCGCACGCGCTACCCAGGTTGCGAGGCTTTGATCCGGGAATATACGAGGGGCATTATAATTTTGACGGACCCATACACCAAGGCCGCGCCAAGCCCAGATCTAGCCATTACTCTTGACGTACCCTGCACTTGCTTTACCCGTTGGACTGCTTAGAAGCAATCGGTAAAATCTAAAAACTAGTAGATGAACGTAGCTGAATAATTATACAACTGAGAAAGTGAGGAAATGCCGAAAAGTAAGCTAAATGCTGGAAGTTTGTCACTAAGGAGAAAATAGAAATTGTGTTTCCAACAAAGTGTATAAAGCTAACTCGCGGTACCCTTAACAATAAGTACCCTCCAGTATTCCGTAACTCGGCGCAACAACTGAGTGTTGCCCTGATCTCAAAAGCTCGCAGTTTCTGCTACTAAATGCTTGACCAAGGAATCTGGTTAATTTGCCTGGCTAAATAAACAATACCACTCCGGACCGATCTACCTCATGCAATACTCAGCACTTGCATCGACCACCTCCAAAAACAAAGCAAAATTTCGGGATAGTCTGTCAATGTGCGTCATGCGCTAACATTGTACCTAATGGTAAAGGCCTTCTACAACTCCATTTTGTCTCCAATAATATATAGCAGACAAGCCTGGTTACATTACCATGAGGTCGCAAAAATTCCAAGAGCAACTGCACAAACAAACGTCGAGAAAGTTTATAAAACCGAAGGATAAATGGCATTGTAAGAAACTCTATACAAGCCTACTTGTTTAAATTACTTCAAGGGTGTTCGGCCGACAAGTGTACGACAAATAATTTACCTGCTGAGTGAATCGTGAATTTCAGCTCCTGCTTCCACACTATAGCTCAGAAATTTTGTGCGTAGGACCACAAGCAGCAGGCTATCTTTCCCATTTATGTCTTTATCGCAAAGCAGTCATCGTTATTTCTATAGCTGTTCCTCTGTGAACCATAATCATCGCATATTCCTACCACTTCTCTTACCTGTTTGGCTCTGGCTTTCTTCTCCTCCTGGGCAACCACTATCTGCGGTTCTACAACGATTAATCTTTCCCACTGTAATTCCTAACTTCTGTGCGTAAGACCTCAAGTGACTGGCTATGATGCCTACATATAACTTTACCTCGTAACACTTCTCCACTTATCTCTTTGACCCAGGGTTTCCTGTCCACTTCTAGACCACCTACCTCTGATGCTCCACCGACTTACTTTTCACACTATAGCTCCGCACTTCGGTGGGTAAGATCTCAAGTATCAGGCTAGGGTTCCCACATATCTTTATCGCAAAGCTGACAAAGTTATTTCTTATAATGCTTGCCCTATTATCCAAAACGCCATTGAATATTCTTATTTAATCCCGTTCCCAATTAGCAAACAGCCCTACTACTTCGCTTACCTGGTTGACTCTTACTTTCCTCCCCCCTTAGGCAACCCCGATCCACGGTCCTCCAATGACTTATCTTTCATGTATTAGCTCCGCACTTTTTTGCGTAAGTCATCAAGTATCTGGGTATGATGCCTACCTGTAACCTTAACTCGTCCTACTTCTTCACCTATTTCTTTGACCAAGGCCTTCCTGTCCACCTATGGACCACCTACCTCTGGTGCTCCACCTGCTCATCTTCCACACTGTAGCTCTGAACTTTTGTGCGTAGAAACTCAAGTAGCAGGCGATGTTTCCCACTTATATACTTAACGCAAAGCAGACATCGTTATTTCTATACTTGCCACCATATGAACCCCAACATTCTCTCTATAGCTCGCTTCCATTCATCACATAATCCTACTACTTCTCTTAGCTGTTTGGCTCTGGCTTCCCACTCCCATAATGGACCACTTGTCTACGATGTTCCACCGACTTACCTTTCACACTGTAACTCTGCATTTTGGTGCGTAAGACCTCAAGTATCTGAATACGCTGCCTGACCATCCCTTGTCTCCTCCTACTCCTTAGCTTATCACTTTTGTTTAGGCTCATTCCGTCTTAGGAACCACCAAGCACCGATGCTCCACCGACTTACCTTCCACACTGCAGCGCAGCAAGGTTCTGCGTAGAGCCATTAGTAACAGCCTAAATTGCCCAATTGTATACTTTTCGCTAAGCTGACATCGTTCTTTCTTATACTTGTTACCTTATAATCCTCAACACAATTGCATATTCTCTTCTAATCCCGCTTCCATCTATCGCATACCCCTACTGCATTTCTTATATGGTTGGCTCTTGCTTTCCTCTCCTAGGCAACTCCTATACACTGTCCTTGAAGGACTTATCTTTCACCCTGTAGCTCCGCACATTTGTGCAAAAGACCTGAAATATCTTGTTACGATGCTTACCTATAACCTTATCTCGTCCCGCTTCTTCACCTATCTCTTTGGCCCTGGCTTCCCTCTCCACGTATGTACCATCTACCACTGATGCTCCACAGACTCCTCTTCCACAATCTAGCTCAGCACTTTGTTGCGTAGCACCGCAAGTAGCAGGCTACGTTTCGCACTTATATCTGTATAGCAAGGCTGACATAGTAGTTGCTTCCTCATAATACACCCGATTCCCAGTATCGCCGTTTTCTGCCGTCTGTTTGACTGTGCTGCACTGTAGACGTCACTGTCTTTTTCT